ACAAAAGAGTTATTTTTCCAAAACAAATCTGTCAAAAAAAGGAATATTGTCTGGGCACCATACATTTCTTTGTACTTTTGAAAAAAATTGAAAGCTTATAACCTCATTTTGCGAGTCAATTATGATCAAAAAAACTCATATTTCAAGTGAAATATAAATATCAATAGATAAGAAAAAAAAAAATGCCATTGCCAATTATACTTTGTTCAGAAAGTATTACTAAAAAAAAACTAGCAGTAATAGTACCATTAACCAGTAATTAGTACCAAAAAAAAAGTAACTAGGTAAAAGTACCATTTATATAAGAAAACATTCAAAAAAAAAAAATGAAAGTTGTTCTTCTTTGGAAAAATATCAAAGATCAACACGACTTTTCATTGCACACATAATAGTTCCACCACAATTACCGAAAAAAATAACAAAATATTAAACAAAATAAAATATATACTGTTATATAAAAAAAAACTTTTGGTAGCCTAGTATATTCCTTGCTATAAGAACCTAAAAAAAGACTTTAGACTTAAGAACACTTACAGGCTGATTTTGCAGAAAAAAAACCTTTATATAAGAACAAAATAGCCTGAACTGCCAAAATGGAAAAAAATATACACAGGTTTTTACTGTACGAGTCAAAATGATCATAAAAAAAAAATATAATTAGAATTAGTATAAACATACTAATGGTCTATCAAAAAAAAACTAATGGTCTATCACTCATACTGCACTGTTATTGGCTACAAAAAAAATGGTCTAATTTGTGATAGACCACTCGCGGGAAAATCAAAAAAAAAACATCTCATAAATAAATCATTTTAAGGATATTTCAATTTGTAAAAAAAATTTGACCGATTAGTATGTTTATACTAAAACAATTAGACCAAAAAAACTCGTGGACTACGAGCTAATAGCTCATGGGCTATTAGCTTAAAAAAAACTCGACCTTGAGGACTAATTGTTAATTAATGAACTCTCTAAAAAAACATGGCTCTCATGCACATATATGGAAGTCGTAGGACAGACAAAAAAAGAAAGACTTTTGTTATCTCCCAAATCGCAATTTAATACAGCCAAAAACCAAGCAGCAACAGTAAACAATTTATTGCATGAGCTAACTGAGTATGGATTGTCATCCAAGCCAGCATTATTTGTGTAACAGTCATTAAAAAAAGAATTCAGTGTCAAATGTTATTGCTACTCATGTGTTGTGGAAAAAAATTTAGGCGCTAGTATTAGTCTTRATTCCAACTGCCTGCTCAAAAAAAATGGCAGATAGTATAGTAATYATAAGACTTTCATCCTTATAAAAAAACTCTTGGATCTCRKTTCCTAAATCGTTGTCGGGGACTTTAAAAAAAACRCGTTCAKYTCCWYSATCATCCATRAGTGTCATGTAACCAAAAAAAATGTTGTTAAGCTGAAAAAGACAAGGACATGTTTTTCTGTAAAAAAATAGAGGATATAACATGGGTGCAGAGATACGCATTTTATCAAAAAAAATATGAAAGCAAATTASGYTGTAAAAAATCTTTTTTCACTTAAAAAAAAAATGTTTCYACATGTATGGAGAAACCTCAAATGTGTGGAAAAAAAAAAAGAAAGAGAGAAGAGATATTACATGGTCGCTTCTATTTAAAAAAAAACAAGGCAAACCAGTGAGAGATAAAATTCATATCTCCAAAAAAAAATGYAATATTCTGTATATCATACAAATATATGGAATCCAAAAAAAAAACAATAAAGTAATGGAAGCAAATTTTACTTCCAATACATAGAAAAAAATCGAACAATTGTGACAAAGTTTTCAACAGACAAATCAGATAAAAAAAGGCATGGACMWCAATAAATGTATGACGGTCACAAACCCCTAAAAAAAGGTTTAAGTAACAATGCGCGTAAGAACTAGGGAGCTCTCTAAAAAAATGCGGCATAGCAAGTTCCCCATGTACGAATATCTTGGTTTAAAAAAAGATTATGTATCCATCTGTGGGTAACACATTTTTGAAATAAAAAAAAAATAAACTCYATTTTGAAACAAAGTTTCTTTTGTATTAAAAAAAAAAATCCAATCATAAGCACTCAAAACAATAGTCAAAAGATGCTTAAAAAAAGCACAGTTCCCCACATAGAATTGCCTTAATATTGAAGCTAAAAAAAACTTTCATGAAGTCGGAATYAGATATYAAATAAAATAATCGAAAAAAAGCTAACTTGTGAAATTRTAGCAGATTTTYATGTTTTAACCAAAAAAATGGATGGATTATACAATGCRCAATTAGCACCTTCTTGCATAAAAAAACCGTTTGCTTCCCTAGTTCTTACTCGGGGCATTACTTAACAAAAAAAGTCTTGTGGTATACCTGATAGTCTTTTCGTGAGACATTTGAAAAAAACATGTTGTGGGTTGAGGGGCAGATGTCTTCATATTTTTTAAAAAAAAAAATGTCAATTCCAACCAAATGGACCTAATGTGATGATGCAAAAAAATATATTTTTTACCATAACTTGTAGAATTCTCGCGCGCTGATTGGCCGAGAGCCGTTGTCGATCGTAGGACAGACCGATGAAATGACGAAAAAAATGTTTTGAAAGTTTTACTTTGTTTTTGGCTTTGTTATGGTAAAAAAACAAATCGAAA